AATAAATAAGAACAAAGACAACTTGAATTTTAGTATTAGCATAAACATGACAAGATTGAATTGTATCTGAAGTAAATTTATTACATATTCCCAAATAGTAAAACACATAAATAGTAGAATCATTTTCAATAGTTAGTAAGATATACTCGTTATTAGAATTTATTTTTAGGCCATGTGCACTTCAACCAAGGCTTTGGACCCGAATAATTATTTCGGGTTTCGGGTGTTGAATATATTCGGTTGTTCAAACGGATGCAACTAGTTTGTGCACAATTCATAATTTTTATCAAAAAAACGAAACTCGTTTGCGCGTAAGGTTATATTAAATGTACAACTGGTTTGTGCACACGAAAATAATAATATTTTTGTCACGCCTGTATCGGCTAGTTGCGCGGTATAAAACCCGGTGTATGTTATCGGCCTTATCGTGGTTTACGACTAACATAGTGTAATACAAATGATTCAAAATTTAATCCTATGTTATGGGTAGGATATCCAAAAGACGAACCTCAAACTACGAATGGTGTAGAAGCATTTCATAGACATTTTATCCAACAATTTTACACTCCACATCCCCACATACACCAGGTAATAAGCGTTGTAATGTATTATACAAAAAATAAAAACTATATTCTTCTTATTATTATTATACCATGGCCGGTATTCATCAGTGGAATTTTCCCTACTATTTCTAATTTTTATAAATCCACGTGTGAAAAATTCGCCATGTCTTGGAGTCAAAACTATGAAAAGGTAGAGGTTTTACGCCCGTACGAGCTTTCCTCCACCATGTAAAAGCTTTATTATAATATATTTATATTTATCTATAATATCATTTTCTTTTTAATCCTTTTCCTTTATTTATGAGTATAATATAAATGACCACGATAGTAAAATCCAATTACTCCGGCCCCAAAAAGTGTCTCGGTATTTGGTTGGCGACCCGTGTACCTTTAAAGGAGATCGTCAACGGGTGCTCGACAGAACTTTCTGTACTGAGACGTTGCTACCTAATTTTTTTTTTGTTTAAATTGTTGATTAAAAATTTCAAATTGTCAAACTTCCTAAATTGCCTTGTTGAAATAAATAATTGTGCACAGTAGTATCTATAGGTGTAATAAGTAAATAATGCACAGCCCCCCCCCACAAATATCATCAAATTTCCATTTATGGTTTTGTGCGTGCACACACTAAAATCGCACTGGCTAGGACATAGCGTGATACAAGAATAATAACAATTTTGACTTATGAGTGTTACGATTAAATTATTACACTAACAAAAATTGACAATTCGCGCCATAGACATGTGTACTACACGTCATACACTGAACAAATACGAATAACACGAACAACAATATAGGTAATCATACGCAAGACATCAATTCTATTTCAGACTTACAGTATTGCAATAAATAACGACTCGGTGATTCATAGAAGACCTATTACCTATAAAAATTATAATAATACAACGTATCCGCTTGGAATAATTTTAAAAATAGTATCCCAGTTGTTTACACTTGAACATTCAACATACCATACCATTCATGCATACCTGTCAATATGATATATTTCTATTGTCTTTATTTAAATAAATTTAGATTAATTAAGAATTTTGTATATTATTTGTGAAATTATTCCTATGAATAATAATTTTAATATTAAACAACTAATGACAAAATTGAAATAACCACAAAAAATACATACAAAATTATATGTTACATAAAGATTGTAAAATAAAAAATTATTCGAGTTTCGGGTTAAAACCAATATTTTATTTGGGTTTTGGTTAATTCGGGTGTTTAAAAAAAAATCATTCAGGTTATATGGGTTTTGGGTGTTTGATTTTTTTAAGAATTTTAAGGAGTGTTACGGGTTCGAATTATTTCGGGAGCAAAGCCCTGACTTTAATAATGCCCAGATCAACAAAATAAATATAATATGTTAATTAGACTTAAGTATATAGATTTTAGAAATTAAAATATTATTTCTAGTAATTAGTAATTAGTTTATAATATTTTATGTATGTTTATATACACTTTAAGCAAGTATGTTTCTTAATAATTATAATTATTTAACATTAAAAACATTTTTCCCAAAAATTCGATCTACAAAGGTGAGGTACATTTTTAGTAGATCATGGCCGAAAAAAGTTTGGCCACCTCTGCTATATAATGTAATGAATGAAGGTAAATATTTTAAAATTATATCTATCAATTATTTGGTCATTGTAAAATTTTAATGATAAATTATAAATAACTTTTTTATTCTGTGCTAATTGTTTTACATACATAATTATTGGCGGAATTTATTTGTATTTACGAATTAATGAACAATGAAATATCGTTTTTAATTGTTATTACAGAATACTTAATTTCGTACACTCCAGTCACGTGGATAGAGGATGCTCTATGAGGTTTTTAATGAGTGCGATTTTATAATATTCCACTTTATTAAAACGATACCATATCAAAATCAAGTTTTTTTTGTTCTTATAATTTACACGGTTTATGGTAAACAATGTCTTAATATTTTAGAAAAAAAAAAACAATTATGTACAGTACACTTTTCGAAAACTTGGAATTTGTGATTCATTTAGTAACATAGTTTCTCATTTAGTAGTTCGTGTCCAAATTATCCATTCGGTTTTTCAATAAACAATCTCTTTAAATTTATCCATTACAATAGGTAGTATAAAATGTCCTTCAAAAAACTTATACATAAAATAATTAGATACCAGCTGAAAGACAAAATTAAATGTTTTTAATTTAACATGAATTTAAAAAACAAGATCATTATGATCACTCTAGATCAATATATTTATAAATAAATTCCTCCCTAAAACGCACCATAAATGATGATTTAAAAAGTTTAATCTTTTGTAATTTAGTATTGAGCAGAAAGGAATTAGTTCTAACCCTAAAATTTGAGTTCACATTAAATGCCAATTCAAAGATTTGAAATGTTACTAAGATACTATTGTTAAGTGTTACAGGCTCGAGTATTAATCCTTTGTTTTGTTAGTCATATTGTTTGTTTCCATTTTAAAGCTGCCATAAGTTTTTGGATTTAAAAAATATTTCTAAGCGAAAGAAACTGTAATATTTGTGTAAATAATTAATTTTGTTATTCCTCAAAATGTTTAAACTTTATGGGCAGTAAATAATACATATAACTAAAATCAGCAATATTATATATACAATAAGTAAAATTATTTGATATTATTTATTATAAAATTATCGAGTTCAAAAAACATTGATTTTCTTGTTTTACCAGAAGAAACAAAAAAAGGTTTCTAGAAGAAATTTAAAACGCTATCCAAGAAACGTTTTTTTCCACTTATTTTTCTTTTATATGGAAAAAAAAATACTGAAAATGTCGAAATAAGTTCCTGTTAAATTACAAAATAGGCGAACCATGGTTGTTTGAAGGAAACTATATTCCATTAAAATATTAAATTAAAAAACCAAAAAACAATCGACAAATGATCATTAAAATATACAAAAATAAAATAATGATTAATTATTATTATAGATCACTGGCGCGGCTCGAGGAATAGGTCGTGAACTTGCGTTTAGATTCAGCAAGCTGGGTGCAAAAATTGCATGCCTGGACGTCGATGAAATCGGAAACCGAGAAACAGCAACAATTATTAAAGAAAACGGAGGAACAGCAGCCGATTATAAATGTGACGTGACTAAAAAGGACCAGGTGAAGAATGTGCACAAAAAAGTGGTACAGGACTTGGGTCCGGTAGATATTTTGATTAATAATGCCGCTATCGTGTGGGGTTACTCGTACATCCATCCCTTTGCGGATCAGTTCATAGAGGACCTAATCAACGTGAACCTCATGGGACAGTTTTGGGTAAGTGCGCGTCGCGATATTTATTCCTGGACGGATAAACCACGGTTGTAAATATATTTTCCATCAAATAAACATGTATAATAATAGTATGTTACCGTTGTATTATATTGATTGTCGCAGGTAAATAGAGAAATATTGCCGTCCATGTTGGAGAGAAACAGTGGACACATCGTGTCAATATCTTCGTTATCTTCCATGCGCCCAGTACTCGGCGCTTCCGCGTACACGACTTCCAAATGTGCCATCAACGGTAAATCGATTCAATGACACGTATCGTATAAATATCGTGATAACGTATTCGTCTTTACTGTGGTTTCATTTCAATTTTTTCCAGACAATATCGTACTCACACATAATATAACTCGTTTTACGCGGGATTTTTTTTTTTCATCATAGCTTTAAGCACGTGATTATTAAGAAAATCTTTATAATTATTATTGTTTTCTAATAGACTCATAAGGTTTGAAACAAATAGAACCCGTTGGTGTACGGTAAACGAGCGATAGCAAGCACGAACCATTTAGTACCGAAAAAAACAATATCACCATCTTGTAGTATCTTTACCAGAGATGTTCCGGATACCCGGAAATTCATTGATAGCCGAGTACTTGATGTGAAAATTAAGAATCGACCCTTACCTGGTACTCGGCGTAATACTATATTTCTTACCCTGCTAATACCTAGTACCCAGTTAATTAATACATTTTTGCTCGACCCTTACTCAGTAACCGGCCAATATTCTTTGCATAAAATGTTCACACCTATTAATATAACAAAATAAAATCCTTTGTTATAAACTATAATTTATTTTGGTATATTTATGATGTAGGCCTTTATCACACGTAGTCATTCAGTATTGCCTCTCCAAATCTATAATCTTCATTACCTCCTGTTCGTCTTGTCAACGGAATTTCAGCAGGAATATCGCACGTAATGAAATAGTGCTAACATCACGAATTTGTCAAAGTTTATCATACTTTTATTATAGTGTAGAACATCGTATAAAGCACAAATTGAGATATACTGTACACCCAACGATCCATGATAAGAATAGCACAAACATATTTTTCGATTGAAAATGACTTACCGTGCTGAGAGTGGATATAATTAACATTCAGTGATATAATCACAGAACAATAAAAAATAATATGTAAAAGTAATTGATAACTACATATAATTATACAAAATATACAGACATTTTCTTTATGTTCAAGTTCAAATTGCCCAGGCAGAACCAAATTTCCGGGCAGCGTATACATTGCCCATAACATATACATGGTTCCGCGTGACATTAACTGCAGCATTGTCTTGCCATCTGCTAATATTTAAATTTACTAAAATAACAACAAATGTTGTACTTTGTGTAGTAAACCATCGGTTAGCAAACATCCGCTAACATTATATCATGTATTGATACTAATGTGACAAAACCAAAATGGAAACCAATATCAATACATTCTCGTATTGATACGCAGTTCCCACAGAACAGAGCCTATTTTCAATATCACAGAAACAATCTTCCGTGTTCACATCCGTCAGAATCCCCATCGGCCTTACTCTTATCCTAAATGGCTGCCTATAAATACAGTATCCATTTCCCCATACATTTAGAATAGCAGAATCATTTAAACTAGTGTTAACTAATTACTTCGCTTACTGCACCGACGCTCATCTGGTCGTGAAGCCCGCGCGCTTACATCGCCGCCAGCTCTGAGAGTCAATCTTTATTATTCTCGGGCAGAGCTTAAATACTCTGTCCTCACACTTTCAATTATAAATTTCTATCTTATTTGTATTAACTACATATTTTTATATATTTTATTTTATTCATTATTATACATATCTATATAACTTTAAACCATCGTGTTTTATCATTTAAACACTTTCCAATAACTGTACATCACAAACGTAAAACGTTCAAGTATTTATTCGTCAACGGTGTATTGTGTCGTCCTCTTGCAGGCCGGTACGTTACAGTTGCATGGATTTGAATCATTTATAGATTTACTCGAGTACTAAAAATGTCTCTCACTTACCAACTTAGTAAACATATCAAAAAATAAGGTAACAATGTTAGTACAGTGGACATATTTTTAGTATCCAAAAGGAATTGTATAATATACAGTGTTGGGACTTATTTAGATAAATTTATCTAGATAAATTATCTAGATAGATTTTTTTGTTATCTTTTATCTTATCTAGATAAATAACGCTAAGTTATATAATTACTTATCAAAGATAAAATGCTTATTTATCTAAATAATTTTGTCTGAATTGTAATAATTGTCTGAATTCTTGCCAAGATTAGAGTTATTTTTATTCATGTATGGAGACGTATCCAATAAATCAGAGATCATCAAAATCGGTCCAGCCGTTCTTGAATCATAAATTCTGTAACTAACCCGTCTTTTATATATATATATATATATATATATATAGATTTTGTATTCATAATTATAATTCGTGTATTATGAAGGAGTAATTATTATTTCTTGGTATGACATTTTATTAATTTTTTCATGTTGAAAAATGTCTTTGTTATTATTATTATTATATATATTTGAATTTAGTATACACACGTAACTCATAAGTCAATACTTTATTCTTGGAAGCCATAAAGTCGTAATTACTTATAGAATAATGAAAATCATCAAATTGAGATTATATTGAAAACAATATTGTTAACTTAAAATAATCTCTAATATATTCTTTATTCATCTTGATACTAAGCAATTTTCATTTTTTTTTTTTTTTGTGTCACATTTTAGTGATTAATTATCATTAAATACTGTACTTTATGTATAAATACTATTTAATAGTAAACTACATTACTACAATGAACATTTAACACTTAGATACCTATTGATAACAATGATTATAATTGTGTCTTCATATATATTATTACAATTATGAAATATTGACCAATTAATAACATTTTTTTAAAAATATATTTTTTTTTTTTCTAGATAAAAATGAAATTAACTTAAATCTTTATCTAGATAATTTTGGACATATTATCTTTCATCTTTATTTAGATAAATTTTGCATTATCTATTCCCAACACTGATGATATATCTGTAGTCATAACTTGATTCGGATAAATGAGCAATTATTTACCACTCGAACTTGTCGAATAAAAGTGATAAACGTAATAATTATTCCGTGTTATTGATTATGCATTACGAAAATTACATATTCTGGAAATTTATTTATGGTAAACAAATGATCCGCTTATTGAGAAATAAAATACATTTTATTTTCTTTATATATGATTAATGAGCTTATAGAATTGATTAAAATAGCTCGTATTACACTTGTGAAATAATTTAGTAAGTCGAAAAATCAAAATATCGATCGATGTGAAAATCAGCTATACATTTTTATTAGAGCAATTTTACAATCTCTTCGATTCCTTGATAAATGAAGTCGTTTACCAAAGGAAAATGGCGATTCTGATTCCCTTGACCGGATCTTTTTTCCACAGCAATGCGTGAATTTTTGATCGACAGAAATTGTCAAAAAACTCTACAATAAAGAAGACTATAAATTAAATATCATAGTACATAGATTCAAGGGCAGGAGGCTTTTGGCCGAGTTATATATTATGGACATATGTAATAAATACTTTATAAGCTTTGTGTATTTGATTGAAGATAAGTCAGAAGTCCAATAAAATTATTAGATTTTCATATTTTATCATTATTAAATTTATTATACCTTTTATACATATGTATTTACTAAAACTATATATTTTGTATATATGAAAATACAAATTAGCCATACCCCATTTAATATTTATACATCAGTCCCTGGTAGTGTATCATAATAATGTATCATAATATTACAATAAAACTTGCGTACGTATTTTGTATACAACATTCAAATGTGTGTAGGTATGATGGAATGCATGGAAAGCGAGCTAAAGTATTTGAACTCCAATTTAAGGACGACGACTATTCTGCCGTACTTCGTGAAAACCAACCCCAAAATTACAGCCAGATTACACATTAGGTACGGATATAATATATTAGATTATTGGGTTGGTGCATATTAGGGATGGGCAAAATTATATGAACAATAGGTACATCGATTTTTAAAATATCGACGTGTTCGATATATCGATGAAAAACCATCGAATTTTAAAAACATCGAAAACAATTGTTTCCCTCTAGAGCTGTCATCTATTGTACACCTTATTATCTGTGCAGTGTACATTCTTGATTAAATAATACATTTAAGAGTTAAAATACTATTGTTTATTTTATATTTTTTAGAACCATATTAAATAATTATAAACAGGTCTCGTAAGTTCATGCATTTGCATGTTTTCTTTGCTACATCGGAAAATACGCTAATTAAGATAAAAATCTGTTTCATAACTGTGATAATACAATTCTAAAGTTTGATTGAGCATACTTTTACATGTTTTGTGTGTATTGGCATATTTGACATATAGTTGATATTGTTTTTGAGTTATTAGCACATTTTATTTTACCTAAATTCAGCGAAATCGTATTTTTGTGGAAGTAAAAAAAAAATTAGATCAATAAATGATTAAATTCATTAATATTTACTTTTCCAAACTTGCTTATATAACCTTAGTATTTTATCAATATTTTTATTTTTCAATGACATTAAATTTTATAAGTTAAAAGTAGTACCACGAAAACAATGTTATTGCGCACTACTACTACTCTCCTCTTATTCACGTGTCTATTACAATCTATCTATTTTCGTCGTAATTTGTATTCATTAATTATAATTTTATTAAAATGTATCCATAGAAAAATTATAACATTTAAAAATATAAATGTATATTTCTTATTATTTTAAGAAATCCTTAAATGTTTTTTTTCGTGCATAGTTAAGGATTTTTAATGCATATTTGATCAATAGTTAGTGCATTATTTCATGCTTATTTATGCGATTTATAGTAAATGAACATACGAGTCTTGATTAAAACTGTAAAATGTATACTGTATAACGTATTTTTTGTATATTGCATATTATAATAATATAAACAAAAAAAAAAAAAAAATTCGAACTTTTCGAACATAAACTTCGATTTTTAATCAATTAATAGAAAACAAATAATCGATTTTGAAACATTACTATATCAACCCAAAACATCGATGTTTTTTGTCCATCCCTAGTATTTATTAAGTCGAGTCATTTCAAAAAGTGGAACTAATTTGTCTTTTGATATTTTTCTGGGTATAATATTTCAATATATTTTTCTTCGTGGTATTTGAATCTTTAGAAACCTTATAAATTTCCGAATAAGAATTAATAATTTTTTTTTTTTTATATATAATTAAATACTATAAGATATAAAGTTACTGAAAAATAAAATGGCGTACGAGCCAATTCATTTGAACATTTTGCATGCACATGTCTAGATTATCGGAAATACCTACGGAAATCGCTGTCGATGAAATGATGAAAGGAATACTGGAAGAACGACGAGTGTTTTCGATTCCTGGATTATTTTTGCCGATAGTATCGTTTGTTAGGTAAGTTTATACGACTCGTAAACATAAAGCGAGTTTATGATAATCAGTGACGGATTTAACGGGACAATTATGGACATATTCCACCTGGGCCCCTACCCGTAAAGACCCTCGTTCCCCAGATCCAGTCATCAGTTCACTAATTTTCATTTCAACAAAAAAATTTAAATAGAACAGAAATGGACCATGATTTTGAATCTTCTTTTCGATACTGTAGAAACGTTGTCCAGTTTAGGCGTGGTCACCGAGAAAATTTCCAAAATTATGAATATCCTGGAATTTACTTGACTATCAATAAATTAATTTCCCATCATAAATGTTCAAAAGATTAAGTAAAACTCGTTAGGTGGCACGATTAAAAGCTGTGAAAGCCTTAATTAATAATTTTGAGTGCATAGTAGATTGTCTAGAAAATGAGATATCAAGAGTTGGAGCATCTGGAGATGATATTATGGCTACTCATACATTACTTTCATCAAATAATTGGTTTTTTTTTTTTTAATTTGTTATAATGACATTCAATGCTTGATATATCAAGCAATTAATAATTTAAACGATTTTAATATTTTTTTTTGATATATCAATTCTGGGCTACTATAACTACAAAAAAAAAAAAAAAATAAGAAATTGATTTAATAACGGCTCAAAATTGTATTTCAACAGCATTAACAAAATTAAAAAAATCCAAGAAATTAAAAATCTTACAATCATTTCATGGCAAAAGCAAAAATAAATTAGGAAAAATGGGTTTGGATCATGTTGACTTTCCAACAGTGAGAAATCGGCGAATTAATAAAATGACTGGTGAAAATCTACTGATTCTTCTTTGGAAACGTATGATAAACATAGTTATTATGAAGTTTTTGATACCATGTGCATTAATACAAATTTTTTGAATTTTTGATGCCTGAAAATTCAAATAAACTGATAGAAGATGATTTAGTTATCAGTGTTGGTATTTTGATTGAGAAATATGCTGATTTCTTTACAACTTGTCTGAAATATGAGTAAATTAGTTTTATTGATTTATATTTTTCTTAAAATAACGAATTTATTAACATTAGTCCACTGAATAACTTAAAATTATCTTTGATAAACATTTGATAGACAGTTTTCCAGTGCTATATTATTATATTTTTTTTATATATATATATATTTTTTTTTTTTTGGATCAATATCTATCTAGTTTAACAGTATTTTAAGAGGGAAGTCACGAGTTAGTATTTACGACGACTCATAATTCTTGGGCCATTTATATCGTATGTAGCCTAGGCTTTTTTTCCTTAAATTCGCCACTGATGATAATACATAATATCATCAGGTTGTATATAAAGTTACGTACTTAATAAAATTGATATTTTGTTAATTCATATTTAAAACTATATACTTATATATATATATATCCACTGTGCATTTAAAGTTACAAAACATTGTTGCGATGTAAGCTTTATGTTACAATGCTAACATTGTACTCAATGTTTCAAAAACATTGCAGGGTTGTATAATTGTAACACTATTTTAGGGTTTGTTCCATCAACATCAAATGTACCTTCAATTTACAACGTTCTAGAAACAAGTTTCTGTAACGTTACCTTGATGTTTCTTATTATTTAATAGTTGACATTGTATAATCTACAACTATTTGTTTTTGTAAAATATAAAATATACTAAAAATAATATCTGAAAACAACCGGGAATCGGGATTACCCATATTGTTAATAAACCGCGTCCCACCGCTTATGGCCAGCCATTGTGTTTATAAATACATGCACATCATTTAGCCTGTACGTATCACTTACCAGCTCATATGAATTATGATTAGTGATTCGTTATACGTATTTACATCTTTTAAGTTTTAACATTGTTATTAATTGTTCTGTGTGCCTGTACGTGATCGTGAATCGCCTGAATTCTTACTTGGTGAATTTTCTATACTTTCGTCGTTCAATTATAATATTAATGTATTATTACTTAAATTAATTTTATTTTTGAAAATTATGTGAGTAAATAAACTAAAATATATTATATGTTTTTATTAAGAAAAATCTATCTACACTCTACAGTGTAATTATTATATAATTCACATTATGTACGTTACTATCTATAGGTATTGTTTAGTTATCGTTGTAAATTAAATAAGTAGGTATAAGTTTGAAAAGTGTATGTTATTTATGAAAAGATGTATTGCCTTTTAATTGAGTCTTATGATTTCAATCACTATTTTCTTTATAAAATAGATTACATACCTACCTTGTGTAATTTGTTCGTCGAATATTTTAACTAAGCAATGGGAGTTTATAATTTACAAAGTAGTTATTTTAAAATAAGACCTGAATAAGAAGTTTAGAATATTTACGTATAAATGTACGACTAATTGAGGCAAATATAATGGCTAAATACGATGTTCTAATTCAATTTAAATAATAGGATAGGTTAGGCGAACTCGGTAGGATTGAGATTCAATAAGTAGGGCTATGTATGAAGCAGGATTCTCTCTATAGGTGATAAGAAAGTCAGTAATTTTTGCTTTATTTTATAATATAATTATTTCGATTTTAATCAACATCATAGTTATGTCACTAAAATGTTCCTGGGAGGTTTTTCAAAATATCAATGCTATGTTATTGCGACGTTACATTAATGTTTCAAAATACGTTACATATGCGTTGAAAATTACTCTAATGCTGGGTCATCTATTTTGGTCATTAGCGTATGCATAAACGTTGTTTCAACATGATTGCACCAAAAAAGGCAATGTTACAATGTTGCTTGAAACATTCCATACAAGTAAATACAACAAAATATTGCACGGTGGGTATATTCATATTAACATGACATTTACCTAACACTATGCATTTCACTTTAGGTTGTTACCTGATGATTTACAAAATGTATTCAATAAAATAACAGATATAAGGATTACACTGGACGAATATGATCTAGAAATTTTCAAAAAAATATATTCGTAAATGATGAATTTACAAACCACTTTTTATGCAACCATGCCACTTTCAAACGAGTAACCTGTATATATCATTAATAATTTATTATTAATTTAATCGTAAAAATGATATAACAAATGGTTTTTTATGATTGCTAAATGTTTATAATTTCCATTACTAGAAATTTATAAATAACACATAATTAAATTGTATCGATATTATGTTTTTTTTGTTATTTGAATAATTTTTGAATATTAAATTTTTTTTTTTATTTTTATTTGTAACTTGATTTATTTATTTCCGCAATCTGTTGTATTTAAACAACAAATGTAATCGATACACGAATTTATTATGCAAGAATAACAGAATAAAGAAACCTTTTGCGAATTGAATTTGATACAGTCGAACTTGTTTAAGTTGTAGTTGAAAGGACCGGAAAAAATGTTTGAGTTATCCATGAATTCGAGCTATAAAAATCATATTTCAAAATATGTATTTTTTTAAAAAACAATACAACATATTAATTCTTATGTATTTATTAAACATATATTAATATTAATGCAAATTCTTCAGCTTTTGCTCTTATCAACAACCCCTTGGTGGAATTTTTTTGTCACTTGTCTGTTTAAACCATTTGTATATGCACTCATCAACATCAGGATTTTCCGGTTCTCTAACACTTTTCTATCCATTTTACTGGACAAAGCTAACTTACTTAATATGTTTTCTTTATTTTTAAGATGAGTTGACAAAGTGTTAAATGTCAAGTAAAATGTCAAATTCTGTAGCTTTCAAACACTTTGTTTTCAATTTATTTTAAACTTCTCGTATCACTTCCGCTTTTTTATCGTATATTAGCGTTTTCAGCACACGTTTTGATGACATAACGAAATGAAAAATTACCTACGACCACGGTGAAAATTTCAACTTGATATGAAAAGAGCACTGAACATTGAAGTGTTTATTTATGTTAGTGGATAATGAATCGTTGTCCCGTAGTAGAACAGTTAGATAACGATAACACTAATGACCTTATTTTCGATAGTAAATATACTATGATACGATAATATATAGATAGATAAGGGAAATATCACAATTTTATAATAAAACTGGAAACTTTAAGTAATTCATGAAAATATTCGATTTAGACAAGATGTGGTTTGTTCACTTTAATTATCAAATTTAATGCTTAGATTATGTTCAAAATTGATTTCTTTGTTTTATTTTCTACAAATGTAATTTAACTCTAGTGTAGAATTTTCGTTATAAACCACTACTAATTTTGTTTGATATTTTTAGTTTATCTGAAGAAAGAAAAATATCTGATCTGAAATTTTTATTCAAACTTGCCTGGGATTTTATTGACTGTCCCGAAATTTTAGGTTCTTTCCATTTCGAAGTTCCTCTTTGTAGAACCAAACCTACCACTACGTTTTATATATTCACGCAAAGAACAAATAATGCATTATCTTCTTCGGTAAATAGGATAATATCGATAGCTGCTGAAATAAAAATTGAATTGTATAGCCTTAATTCGATTGAATAATTTAATAATTATGTAAACAGAATTTTTTGTTTTTAATTATTTTTATTATTGTATAGCATTGTGGGATTGTTCTTATAAAAATAATTATTCATATTATAATTAGTCATTTTTTATATGTTAATGTTGAACGTAATTTATAAAATATTCTAATCGGATCTTATAATCCATTGAAAATTAACACTTTTTATGCTCAATCGTGTAGGTTTATTTTGTATTTATTTTTCCTTTGATATTTCGATAAATTTTCTCAATCGTTTCACATCCCTATAATATAATTATTCGTTAATTAAAAGATACCGATACAGGACTTGACTCCTTTTGGCTGCACTGAAAAAGCCAATTCAAGATAATAATTATAAATCTCAATCATTCTACAATATTAATTAATATTTAAACAATCTGGTCGAACTAGGCCAAACATTGGTCACGCGTATCGTTAAATTCTAAAAAAGTCATCATCCTCTGTTCCACGTAAAATTGGCTCATAATGAAAAGAACCAAGAAATCTTTAAGATTAATGCACTGCTCTATTTTGTAGTGGTTTTTGCTAACCCACACGCAAAACGAAACAGTGTCAAGCATATGATTGTACGCGTAATTACTGCAATCAACAGATTAATTAATTTGCTTTTGCAATTAACAGTTAATTGTGGCGAAGATCATTCAACTTAGAATTGCATCAAGGATCGAATCCTTCGGACTTGGTATGCACTATATTCAAGTTACGTGTAAAATTATGTGAAGGTTGTAATGTACAGAAAATTGACAGAACCCATGAATAAACTGAAAAAGTAAAACGTCAAACTATACTCTTCGTCATGTCTCCTATACAACTTTGTCCGGTCCGTCATACACCAGCACAACATCCGCTAAATGAGTGTCCATTACTTCTGAATCAATGTCAAAAATTTCAAACGAATTCAATACCTTATTAAACCCTTTAGTCTCTTTACTGACAGTTTTTATAAACAAACTAACAACATATTTCCCACGATTTTCAATAATTTCTATATCTATATTTGATTCTCTTATCGTACATCAAATAACCAAAATCATTAACTGATTTTAAACATTAATTTGTATCAACTCATCAATTACATAAATGACATTCGCTATAATATATTAATTGTTATAAACTTGTAAGAGTATTCATTATCTGAAACATTTTGAATTATAAAAAATTATTATTTGTTTAGATTTTGCATATTTAAAACCACTGTTAAGTTTTTTCGTTTTACATACAGGTAATTATTTTTATTATAAAATGTGTCGTTTCACCGTAAAAGAATAGGTATATAATCGATAAACATACAACCCTTTACGCATCATATGGAAATCATACTTTTGTGATTTATAGTCCGTAACCGATCCCTCTTACAAAATACCACAACAGATCTGATGCCGAACCTAATATATTAATACAACTTTCATCGATATAGCCCAATATTAAGAATATTTGTAATAATAAAAAGCAACTTCACGCATCTCATTAAGTAATATCATATACAATTATTATTATTTTTATTTTTTTAACATATTTTTTAATTAAATACCTTTAACACAAAACTAGTATATGAAATAATTATAAGTAGTAATAATATGAGGCTTCTGACCATGGTTTTTCAGTTTTTATTTTTTGAGGTAGTTTTGCTGCGGTAAATTTACGAAATTTGGCTTCCTTTATTTAGTTTTAACACGGTATGATTATTAAATTAGTCTTGATTTTAAACCATATTATTAGCTGCATTTTTTTCAATTTAACATTTTATTTTAAAATATCTTTAGAGTCGATATAAGAGTTATGACTTGAGTCGAAACTTAACCATTGAACCAGGATTTTATTTTTATTTTTTTTTTATAACACGTTCAATGAGAAACGTGTTTGGATATTTAGTCTTTTGAATTTCTTGTTCATAAAAATAACCTACTATTATATTATTTTCTAAATCTTTTAATTTATATGTTATCGGATTTGTCGGTAATACATTTGCAATTTGAAATACTTCCGTAGTCCAATTCTGTGTATAACCTTTAGCGAAAGCATGTTTGTATTTTGAAATCCTAACTTTATCTTTTATTTTAAACTTCGATTTTCTAAGTTTTTCTTGATTAAATTTAAATTTTATGGATTTTGTTCGAGCTTCGTAAAGTGTACATTTAATTGTAGTGTGAAATGAATTATTATATCTGTTTATTAATTTTGATATTGAATTATACTAATTTCAAGAACCTGTTGCTGTAAAATGTTTATAGATTTTATTTTTTAATATCCTTATAACGCGTTCGACTATTCCAGCCTTTATACTTGTGTATGTTGAGTAGTGTTTGATATTAAACTGTTTCATAAGAATTTGAAACTCTTTATTATAAAATTAAGTTCCATTATCTGTTTGCAATAACTTAGGTTGATTTAATTTTAATATTTTACACATACCTAATGTAACATCTTTTGCACTTTTATTCTTTAAAGCTTGCACCCACACATACTTTGTAAAGGTATCTATAACAATAAGAATATATTTAAATCTATTATTTTTTTTATAATGTAACTGCATATCCATTAGGTCGGCTTGCCAAAGATCATCTTTAAATCTTGTTATGACAAACCGTCGTGGAAAAATTTTTCTTGCTGGTCGATGTAACTCATTTGCAATACCTTCTAATACAGACATTATACTATTAGATTTCTCTCACGTAATTCTTCTAATATAGAAATAATTTCATTATTAACACCAGTATTCCCAGCAGATTGAGAAGCTATTAAAAGATTTAATCTTGTCACTAATTCATTTGGGTCATCATAATTAACTAACTGTGTATTAGGAATCATGTTTTTATATAAACCTGAATCCTTTTTAACCGGTGGAGATAAACTGAACTTAAATAATTTATCAGTTGGAGGTTCCTCGAATGTCGGGCTGTTTACTGTAGAATCAAAATTAAATGATTTATTTGCTATTGTTGTATTATCATTAATTTTACTTCGTTTAGCATTTGCACTAACTAAATAGTCATCAAATGGTTTTAAATTTAAATTAGTTTTTTCTCTAGAACAATTAATATTTGCTATTTCCGCGCTTAACTGTTTTTCCTCCGTTTTCATTCTATCATATAGCGGTCTTACAACGTTCATCCATTTAAAGAATCTTGAAGTCTTTGGTTTCCCATCAGGCTATAAATGAACTTCAGTACTTTTCAAAATATCATAATATGCTTCCATATCTTCTAATAGTATTTTTAGGTCCCTTTTCACATAAAAAGACCAAAGATCAATATTCCAAGGATAGTAACTATCGAGTAAGTGAAAGTTACCACGAATAAAAGAAACAGGAAAATTCGATATTTTTAACTAATCATTAACTCTATCATAATGTAAACCATATGATTTATCATAACGTCGTGATTGTGGTCGTATGTTAAAAAAGTTTTTAAATTTTGTATTTAGTAACGTATCATCGTCTTCTTGATCACTAGGGTAATGTACTTCTGTATTTAT